GATAGAGCATCAAGATTCAAGTTTAGCAAGCGCACGCTTCAGAAACAGTATGAGATGTGAAGAAAGCACATGACATCCGCACCTTCATGACCAAGATCATCATGAACACATACAGTTAAGGCAGATGGGGAGGGGTGAAAAAGAAGCTAGGTCAGAAAAAATCTACAACCGGACTCCACAAGTGGCACCTACCCACTCACTCCGGCTGTCCTCACAGGCCCTGCTTCGGTTGCCCTCACCCTCTGAGGCCGGACAAGCGGCAAGGTGAGAAAGGGCCTTCCTGTCATGGCACCAAAAATCTTTGGAACTTCCCTGCTAGGGAGATTCATCTGTCTCCCTCTAGCCGTATCTTTTGCCAGAAGGTGAACCATTTTTTTAAATCCGGCATGCAACGGTCATTGGCCTTTCTTCTAGTGTTGTTTGGTTCATGTGTTCTTAATTAAATTTTATATCTTAACTGTTTTTTAATTGTTTTTATGTTTTCCACCCCTGGACTCTGATTGGGTGGCAAGGTGGAATAAAAATGTTATAAACAAATATCAACAAATGAAACAACAACAACAAGGCTTGATCAGTCTCAGTCCTTCTGGGAGTTCTGGCCAACCACCGGCCAAGCCCAGCAACGAGAAAGGAGGCGGAAGGGGCCAGGGCTTCACGGGCTCACCTGGGGCACACTAGGCAGCTTTTTGCCCCAAGTCTGAAATTCTGACTTGCCTTGTGGGCGACACGGCCCCGGTCAGGTTCACGGCACCAGTGCTGCTTCTCCTTCTGATCTGGCCTCCGCTTCCTTCCCAGCTCCCCTTGGGAGCGGCCTCTCCACGCAACCGCAGAGAAGTCCTTCCTTTATGATGTTATGCGAAGTGGAAGCCCGGGGCTTCCCAAGCTCCAGCTGGAAGACCTGATGGTCATACGGGTGCAACTCCCCTCTCCCTCCACCAGGGGCACAGCCAGAAATTGGGGAGGGGGGGGCGCACCAGGGGCCCTAATTTGATTAAAGGTCAGTTTATAGCCACACACTTACACACATATCCCAACCAAAGCCAGCTCCCACAGCCCCTTTTAAAAGCTTTGGAAAGAAGCAGCTGCTTGTTTAATGTCAAGGATCCGTTTCTGGAAACCGCAAGGAAATGCCACAGTGCCTGGGCGCGGGCCTGGAGATCTCCTGGGGGGGGGGGGCGGCGGCTCCCGAGACTCCCACCCCTCAGCGTCTGACTGCCCAGCTCAGCATGGAGGAGGCAGGCAGGCTGCTGTCACAGGACACCAGCAACAACAAGCTCCTCCCAGGACCCACACTGCCCTGGCGCAGGTGCAGTTGAGGCCACTCTAGCACAGGCATAGTGAGGCACCGGGGCGGGCCATTCTGCCCTGCTGGACTGCCTCC